CTCTATAAATGCCCTTTGTCTCCCAGCTCTTTCCTCTATTTCCTTTGACTTTCCTCCTGTCCCACTATCATGCTCAGTCCCCACCAGGGTTTCAGCAATTTCTCTTGGTTAATTACCCTTGACCATGCCCTACCAGGCCTCCCACACCCTCCTCACCACCGATTTGGATCACTTGTTGTTCCCTTGTCCCTAGGTTTGTTAACACCACTACCTTTCCCCCCACCTCCTCCTCTCCCATGGCCCCCCCAACTGTCGGTCCCGTTGTTTTGTCATTTTATCGATGTAAGGTGGAAGAAGCCCTAGTGGAGCAGTGGTTAAGTATTTAGGCTGAGAACCCACCAGTCACTGCAAGGAGAAAGATGGCAGTTTGCTTCAGTAAAGATTAGCTAGCCCACTACCTTAAGTGGATTCCAACTCACAGTAACCCTACAGGGCAGGGTAGAACTGCCCCATAAAAAATCCAAGCTGTAAAGCTTTCTGGAAGCAGTCTGCCACATCTTTCTCCAAGAGAATTGGCCAGTTCAAACCACCAACCTTATAGTTAGTGGTTGAGTGCTACTACACCATCAGTCTTCCCCTGTAAAGAATTACAGCCTTGGAAATTCTAAGGGGCTGTTCAGAATTTGTTTCAACAGCAGCGAGTATGTATGACAGATCGCATTATTCCTATCTGAAGAGAACAGGAGAAAATGTGAAATAAAACTAAAAATCATAAAAAACACCAGGCTTACTATTCTAATAGAAAATGATGGAACTCCAAGGATTATGGCCTTTACATGCCCTGAAGTTTGGGACTGAACTAATCCTGTGGCTTAACTTTAGCAAATTAAGGGCCTTAAAGTTGAACATTAACAATAGTTAGTTAGAATAATCAACTATGGGAGACAAAAGATATTTGCCCAAACATAAAGAAAGCTCAGAAAGCAGGAAGGAATAGTAAGAACCAAGGGAAATGGTAAATATAGGAAGTAAAGTAGACTACCACTAAGTTATGGTGATGCCAACCATGTCACACACAAAAAATACAAGGGGAATTTCAAAATGTTCATGGAAAATTCCATCTTTCAATTTCATTTCTCCACAATTTTTTTTGCAGCCCTCTCAAATGTATGAATTGTTGAATGGAAAACCTATTTGCTTTGTCAGGGATGCTCTGGTCTGCAACTGAGCTTGAATATGGTACGAGTGGGCAGTGTTTCACTCAGTTGTGCATGGGGTGGCCAGGAATCATGGGTCATGCAGCTAACAACAATATAGCTCTACCTTGTTATATTACTTGTATTAAAGGCACTTGCGCTCAAAAACTCATGACCACAACATCAGGCCCCTAAGTGGCCTTTTCTTTTTAATTATTTTAAAGGTAATAATCAAGAGTGCCAACAGTTTTAAATCAGTACAGTCAACAGTTTTAAATCAGTTTAGTATTTCTATTTTGAAATAGAAAAGTTACTACCTTCCAAAGTACATTTCAAAAATCATCAGACTGTGCACACCACACTTTAAACTTAAGATTGGCTATTTTAATTGACATCATTTTATAAGTAAAAATTGCACTATCAATTACATCTGAGGTAGGTGTTTGGTATATAACTGTAAAAATTAGATTATATAACTGTCCACTGTAGCCAAAAATGCAAAGGAAAAAAGAAATGATAAAACTTTTCTATCCACTCTGCCAAATGCTGCCCCACCATGCCTGGGATACAAGGCCGGAGTCTCTGCAACAGTGCTGGCTTGGGAGGAGTGTGTGTGTGTGTGTGTGGGTGGGGGGTGGTGGTGATGAAGATGGTCAAGGTGCCCTTCTGCCACAATGTTTACAAACCCCCCAAGAATGTGTCGGTAGCTGTCTTTTTCCCCAGACAACGCTGCCAGGGTTGGACAGGTCTGATCCTCCCAGGTCACCCCAGCCCAGGCCAGCACGTGGAGCCTGCCCGCCAGTGGGCCGCTCTGATTGGCCAAGCTCAGCCGGAGCTAGCGGTGTTCTGGAACAGGCACGGCTAGGCGCCACAAATTCAGTGGGCGCCCGCGGGGGAACCAAAGGTCGTTACCACGTGGGCAGCTCCTGAGCCGGTGACCGGAGCTGGCCTCCGGCAGGCAGCACACAAACCCGGGGCCTGTGCAACCCCACGTGTCCCTGGCCGTCGGCACCCTCCCCACGTCGGGCAGCGCTCACCTCAGAGCCCCCGACGCTTCCACCTTCAGTTTTTTGGGTTTGGGTTCCTCAGGCGCTGCCATCTTCAGGCTCACTTCACTTTGGCTCCGGAGCATGCAGTGGGGAGTATGTCCCACCCGCTAGGCTCACTGGCTCCGCCCACCCTTGGAATCGCCGCTTTTTCGCCAAATGCTGCCTCTCTCGACTCCGCCCAGTCTCCGCCCCCCACATCCGCAACTCTTGGTTCTTTCCTGCGGTTCCACAGCCAATACCAACCCAGGGACACATTACCCAATAAATGGGGTAAACGCGGGCCCCATCCCCCACCCCCCAAATTTGTAGTTAACTGTCATCCAGTTGGTGACATAGCGCCCCTATAGGGCAGGGTAGAACCTCTCAGCCCTGGTTTCGAACTTTGGACCTTAAAGTTAGCAGCCTAACGCGTATCCAGGACGCCACCAGGGCTCCTTAAGAAAGAAGCATACTTGTATTTATTTATTTATCAATCTTCAGTGAACCATTTCACAGGGGTTTCACCCGAAGTGGTACTTAAGCTCTGCTATTGGTTAAGCCAACCCCGTCCCCGCCCCTCCTCGGCAGGTCTCCTCGCCGGTGGAGGAGTACACACCGAGTGAGGCTGCTGATCAGCGCCTGAGTTCAGATGGTACGAAATCCCTATTCTTTTAGATCCTTGGCGAACTAAAAGGTCTAGACTGTAAACCTCAAGATACATCTTTCCTATCCTTGAGTGGATTCCCTATCATTTGATCTTTCCAATACTACGGAGCCAGTGTCTTTGAAGCTGTGGATCAGGCAATCTTTGGGGCACTCCCTCTGCGGGGTCCTCGCGGCTTTCTCAGCCGCCACAGCTTGGTCCGGAGAGGACCCGGCGCCGAATCACTGACAGGCCCAGGTGTCGGGGTGAGTGAGGGGCGGGGGGTCGGCGGGCAGCACAGCTCGGCACCTGCGGAACCGTCTGGATAGCGGGGGCTCCGAGCCCCAGCTTGAGCTGCGGAGGGGGGGCGTGTGGGGCTGTGGGTGGGGCCGCGCCTCCGGGCTTGCTGGTCAGCCGGGCCGGAAGAGAGCGTGCATCAACGCCGGGGTTTTTCAGCCCCTGGAAAGATTCAGGTTATTGGGGTCCCTCTCTGTGCTCCGGCGCGGGGAGAAGTTACTGTCACCCACACTCTGGTGTCGTCACACCGCCCGGCTCTCGCGGTCCGGTTGACTCTCGGAGGGAAACACCGCCGCGGAAGCTGAGCCGACTTCCTGTTGGGTCCTAACAGTTAGAAGGTGGCTCCTGCACTAGCCTGGATCCCAGGGAGGAGGGTGTTTGTCGGCGGTGAACTTCTCCCGAGTAGAGGTGACGGAGGTCTGAAGGAGGCAGTGGTGATCAAGGTAATGAGCGTGGTGGCTGGCTGGATTTGGTGATCAAGGTAATGAGCGTGGTGGCTGGCTGGATTTGGTGGGCTTGAGTGAATCCGAAACTGAAGTTGACTAAGAAGGTGGTGACGCCATCAAATTAGGAGGCGCCCCCCCTGAGTTTTGTGGAGTTTGCGGTATGTCGAGTTTGAAATAATTCTTTAGATGGAGATGATAGAAAGGTTCGCAAACAAGCGTGAGAAACGAGGAAGAAACAAAGTAGGCGAAAGTTAATAGAGTAAAAGATACTTGTTTGGGGGAAGGTTATCGGTTACTTCAAATGGTGTAAGGGTCAGAGGACTAAGTTGAACTCTGAGGAAGTCATTGCATCTGATGACTTGTAAATTGGGGGCTATTTGTCAGAGGCCAAACAGACTAATCCATCATTTGGGGCCTGACGAGATCGATGATGGCCGGGGCGGGAGTGAGTTTATTTCAAAGAATAGGTGACACATTGAAGATTCTAGGCAGAAAGCAAATAGCAATTTAAGATTGAAAGTTCAAGAGAGGAGATAGGATCCCAAAAGTGACAGAAGAAAGACAAGGGAATCTAGATTATAAGTAGGATTAATTTTAGGAAGGAAAGGGGACGCTTTCAATTGATGTTTTAGGAAAAGTAGAATGTATGAGTAAGTGAAAAATCACAAGAAAGCTTACTGACATTTAATAGGAAAAATCCCTTTACAACCGAATTATATGATTTTTAGCGTTTTTAAACATTAAAACACTATGTATTTTAAACTTTGCTGTGGACTAGAGATTTTAAGTAGCCCAGTTGTACCTGTGGAGTCTGAGTAGCAAGAGGCATTTATAGAAAAGGGAAATAGGACTTTTTCCCTGTACAGATAGCTTCTCTACACAGTACTACCAGGATGGTACACTACTAATGGAAAAGTTGGTGGTTTGACCCACCCAGCAACACCATGGAAGATTAGCTTGATGATCTACTTCTGGGAAAATTACAGCCAAGAACACCCTATGGAGATCAGTTCTTTGTACCACTTTGAACTGGAATCAGCGCAATGGCCAGTGAACATATTACATAGGGAACATAAAAGACATCATCTTTGTAACCAAACCTACAAATGTACCTTCTTGAAGTCCTTATTCTTTCAATTATCCCTTCTTCCCTATAGTATCAGTCTTTTTCTCCTCTGCTCATGCTTTTACTTCAGCACTAAAAAATATTCTCCCTTCAGTTTAGGAACTGCCCCCATTTCTTTTCTTCTTTTTTTAATCTTCTTGTCCATTTCACATTAACTTTCTTGAATGTCTCAACTACTCCCCGTTTTTCTCCAATTCTTGCTATTCTCAACAAGCTTTGGTGATACTGTAGAATGAACATTTGCCCTGCTAACCATAAGATCAGCAGTTCAGATCCACTGTCCATTTCACATGATAAAGATGAGGTTGTCTGCTCCTGTTAAGATTTAGTCTCAGAAATTCTATATGGGGTCACTAGGAATCCGAATCAATTAATGGTAGTAGGTTTGGGTTTTTTAAAGTTGCTGTTCTCTACCACTTTAATCTGTCGTCTGTTTCCAGCATTCTATTGAACTACATTGAAACTGCATGTAAAATTAGCAGTGTCCTTTATGAAGATTACTTCTTGCAGGTTGAAAATAAGTTGTACTCTTTTTATAAATCACAGATACACTTAAAGTACATAACAAATGTAGTATTTAATTTTCATATAGGGAAACTTTGAAGATAAAATTTCTAAAAAGCCCTTTCTCACTGCCCTCATGTCAGTTCTGACTCATGATGCCCGTATAGGACATTATAGGTTTCCATGACTGTAACTACTTTCTCCAGAGGAGTGACTGGTGGTTTCAAACTGCTGACCCTGTGGTTAGCAATCCAACAAATAACCATTACACCACCAGGGCTTCCCCTAAAATAAATACATACATACTAACTAACATCCTTTAGGGGACACTGATGAAAAGGAGCTTGAGAAACTGTTGAATTAACAGGCTTTAGTTTTTCCTGTAGGTTTACCTCTTAGATCCATTTAATAGTGTGTACCTCTCCATTCACACTAGCATTAACTAGTTATTAAAACTCATATTTTTCCTGCCTCTTTAGCTACATCTTTTTAAAACCGCTTCCTTGACTCAGTGACTACTCAAACGCTGAAGTGTCCCTTCTATCAGGCCTCTTATTACTGATCACTTTTTATCTGTGTAATATCACCCATCATGAATACAGATGTCATGAACAGAAAACCCTCAATGTGTAACCACTGAGCCACTAAGGCTCCTTGAGTCACATTACACAGGAGTAAAACTTAATGTTCCATCTTCTTTCACCTAAGCTTTATTCAAACATACACATTTCTTTAGGCTTTTCCTTTTTCTCTGTCTCTACTGTCAGCACTGTAGTCCAAACCATATCAGCATTTATCTTACACTATCCATTTTCCCTTTTAACCAATTTCCATAATGCAATTAATGTAAGCAAATGTAAAATCTTATCACAGTTATTTCCCTACTGTTTTGGTTTTGATGTGACTTGACATCCACCTCTCTCCCGTTTATTCTTTTTTTGTGTCTCAAAAGAGATACTTCCACCTTCCAACTTGATTTTTTTAATTGAATTAGCCTCGTGTTCTCTGCCAGTTAAAATTACTTTGGAGGAAGTTTTTCCATGAAAGAATTTTATTGTCAGCTTAAGAGAATAAATAGAATTCTGTGCCTAAAATAAAGAGACTACAAAAGGTACTGTAAGAACAAGCATTTTTTTTGAGAGTGTATAATAGAGCCTTGGTGACACAAACAGTTAAGCATTCAGCTACTAATACAAGGGTGTGGTTTGAAGCCACACAGCAACTGTGTAAGAGAAAGATACAGAGATGTGCTTCTGTGAAGACTACTGCCAGGAAAACCTTTTGAAGTAGTTCTGCTCTGTCACGTGGGGCCACTACGAGACAGTACTGACTGAACAGCACCTAACAGCCAAAACATTGTGGCAGTGGAATACCACAGAAACAAATGGAAACTATACTTGCTTTGTGATCAGTATTTTGAGAACGCGTCCTATATCAGCTCTTTTAAATATAATTTTTATTCTAAATAACTTAATAAACTTTCTCAGCATGTAAACTAGAACCCTGCATATGTACAAATGTGTTTGACAAAATGGATGTATGTATGGATTGTGATAAGAATTTTATGAGCCCCCAATAAAATAACTTTTAAAAAGGGTCAAAAGGGATATCAAATGATAAGATATGAAATTTTAGCCACTGCATCTGTAATAATAAACTTTCCAATTCATTCTGCATGATAGCAAGTCAGTTCCACATCCCTGGTCAATGTACACTGATTTATGAGAAGAGGAGATAAATGAAGTAATGATCTCCCAACTACTAAAAAAAAGAAAAACTAGAACACTAATTTTTCCTTTTAAATTGTAAGTTCAAACATCACATGTAGCTGTGCTACTTCAATATGGAAGCCAATAGCCATATGTAGTTATTTAAATAAATTAAATTTTCAATTCCTTAGTTACACTATATATTTCAAATGCACGTGTGCCTAGTAGCTCTATGGCAGCAGTTCTCAACCTGTGGGTTGCGACCCTTTTGGCGGTCAAACAACCCTTTCACAGGGGTCGCCCGATTCATAGCAGTAGTAAAATTGCAGTTATGAAGTAGCAACGAAAATAATTTTATGGTTGGGGGTCACCACAACATGAGGAACTGTATTAAAGGGTTACGGCATTAGGAAAGTTGAGAACCAGTGCTCTACAGTATTAGATAGTGCAAATAAATATAGGTCATTACCACTACCTTTTCAGTGATGCAGTATAAGAATGTGTTCCTAATCATTAATTTCTTAAGAAGCAGGTAAGAGCAGGAACTCGGGATTCAAGTAGATCAGATTTTGAATCCTGAATCTGACACTTACTGTGTGATCTTAGATAATTAACTCTTCTAAGACTTAACTGTAAAATGTGGATAAGAACAGATTTATAGTAGAATTATGAGGAATAAACAAGATAATGTAGGTGAAATATGCTCTGATGCACTGTAAGTACTCAATGCACTTTACATACTTTACATAGTACTCATTTGCCCTTAGTGAATAAAACACTGAATGGAGCTAAGTACTTCATTTTTACAAAGGATGCTATATGCCATAGCTGGCTTACCTATAACCCAGAGAACCAAACTTTCTGCCATTGATGCAATTCTCATAGTGACTCTATAGGATAGAGTAGAACTGTCCCTTTGCGTTTCTGAGGCTGGAAATCTTTATAAGAGCAGAAAGCCTCATCTTTTCCCTGAAGAGCGACTGCTTAGTTTGATCTGCTGACCTTGTCATTAGTGACCCAAGTAATTGGATACTAAGAAACTGGTTTTCACTGAGTTGTTTACAGTGCCTCTGTTAGAAGATAAAGCCACACTTTATATTTCAGAAGCACATTTTGTTTCAGGAAAAGCATAATGAAAAATACAGGTGCATCTTTATCATTAGATCTTTCTGTTTCATTAAAAATGAGATAAAAGTTTTAACAGCCCAGGTCATAATAATTAAAAGTCAGGAGGGTCCTATATAGCCAGGTTGTGACTATATATAGTCCTAGTAACACTATTTTGTTATCCAGCAAGAAATATAAGACTGATAGAAAAAAACCTACTAAGCAAATCATATGGCTGCCTCAAGTAGAGAATTTAGCAAGTGCCAAGTCATCATCAGATACTTCTTAAATGGCAGCTTAGGTTGATATCATTGTTTTCTGTATCAACAATTGAATGACTCAGTTCTGCGAAGTTTGGTTTTGTTTCCACCGCCACCCCCTTCACTGGAATCTCTGCATTAACAAGAACTGTATTTACAGATTTTAAATTCTAATATGTTGAATTATTGAGCCATTATAATAACTATATAAAATAAAGGGACTTGCTAAAGTTAGACATTTCCGATTGTTTCCTGTATTGTAGGAGAAATAAAATTATAAAATGAAGTTTTTAATTGACACTCAGTAATTACATCCACTCCTTGTTGACATGATTACATTCCATAGATCAAATCACTATTTGAAAATCTGCATTATGCACACTGGTAAGTTACATTATTCCCTAACTGAAAAACATGGCACAGCCAAGTTGACAAATATAAGACTGTGGAGTAACAAGTGCTACTCTATGTTGGTGTTTGTTGCTGCTAGACTTGTGTTGTCAATACACAAATTAGTAGGTTCTTAAAAACTAATCTTGTAAAACAAGATAGTGGATAAATGAGAAGTAGGTGCATATAAATCATAATGTGATGAAACCAAATGAATTTTCAGAAAATTCATCACCTAAATCACGGCATAAAACATGAACACCTCCGAACCTTCCATTCTCCTCTCAGTAAGCACCTCAATTGTCCTCCACAAAGGTGACTGAAATAATTCTTGAAACAGCAAAGTTAAAAAAAAAAATCTTGGTATTCATAACTGCTTGATAGTCAAACTGAAAATCTGACTTGAAAAACATCTGTATAGGCTGTGTGAGTCACTCGTTGCATATTGCCATGAGCACAAAGGGGTGAAGGTTTCAATTAAAAACCACTCTTGCTCAGACAACATATAGTCCTGTGTTAGTATGTTCCAACATTTAATCATTGTGCTTTATGTACATAAAATATTGTAATCATGGCTCAAAGGAAGTTAATGATAACACTGTAAAGTTAAAGAAATCAATGAAAATTTTGATTTGGCACTGAGTACGATGTCTACATTATCAACATTTCGGGGTGTAAAAAAACATGATTAAAGCTGCTGATGTAGCAAAAGGTGTGAAATCATTAACCACGAAACAAAGAACCCAGACCATCGAAGAGGTTGAAAAGTTACTGTTATTTTGGATAAATCAGAAACAACTAGATTGTGATAGCGTATCCAAGACAGTGATATTCAAGAAGGCTAAAAGCCTCCATAGTGATTTAATAAAAAATGTTAGGAATGAGTACTGAGCAGCCTGAAGTTCAGAGTCAGCCATGGCTGGTATGAAAAATTCAAAATGAATATAGGTATACACAGTGTAGTGAGCATGGAAAACTGGTGAGTAATTTATAAGAGTAATTTGGGACCTCAGAGTCAATTATTTGGTTTTCCATTATTACGGGAAAACTAGGTTCAGTTCCCAAACTTTTTGGTGTTCAAGCATCATTTGGAATGAATTTAGTTCCACAACCAAGATATCACTCTTACACACTAGATTCATTTTGTTTATTGTATTTATTCATATAAACTGAATCATACAGAATGCCTATTGTCATATTGCATATCTGTGTTCATTTTCATTGTTGAGGAGTATTTTACTTATGTGTAAAAATTTTTTTATTCTGTGAACAAATATTTGGGTTGTTTTACGTTTTGGTTATATTTTTCTTTTTTTAAATCATTTTATTGGGGGTTCATACAGCTCTTAACACAATCCATACATACATCCATTGTGTCAAGCACATTTATACATATGTTGCCGTCATCATTTTCAAAGCATTTTCTTTCTCCTGGAGCCCTTGTTATCCACCCATTTTCCCCTTCCACCACCCTCCCTCCCTCATGAACCCTTGATAATTTTTTTTTGCCAGAACCCTTGCTAATTTATAAAATTTTTTCCCCATGTCTTACACTGACCAATGTCTCCCTTCACTCACTTTTCTGTTGTCCATCCTCCTGGGGAGGGTGTTACATGTAGATCATTGTGATCATTTCTCCTAATCTTCCCCCCTCCCCATTTCCCCTTCTCTTCCTGGTATCGCTACTCTCATTATTGGTCCTGAGGGTTTATCTGTCCTGGAGCCCCTGTGTTTCCAGCTCTTATCTGTACCCGTGTACATGCTCTGGTCTGACCAGATTTGTAAAGTAGAATTGAGGTCATTATAGTGTGGAGGAGGAAGCATTAAAGAACTTGAGGAAGAAGATAGGAATAGAAGGAAAATTCCTCAATATTATACAAGCTATATATGAAAAGCCAACGGCCAACGTGGTAGTTAATGGAGAAAAGACAAAAACAATTCCACCGAAAAAGGGGACCAGACAAGGATGCCCCTTGTCCTCACTCCTTCATTCGGGTTTCGGTAATTCCTCTTGGCTACATTTCCCATGATAAAGCCCCACCAGGCCTCCTAGACCCTCCTTGCCATCAATTTTAGATCACTTGTTCCGTTGTCCATGGGTTGGTTGACACCCCCCTTCCTTTCCCTACCTCCCTCCTTCTCTTGTCCCGCCTCCCCATAATAACCACCACCGAACCATTAGTAGTTGTTTGTCCTTGGGATTGTTTATCCTTCCTACCTTATCTAGATAGACATGCATTGTTGTCTAATAATGAGCACAAAAACACGATAGCGCAAAACAGAATCACCACCAAAAAAAGAAAACCTATAAATGGTTCCAGCTCTGTTTGACCTTTAGGAGTATTTTCCAGTTAAGTCTGACAGGGTGCCACGCCCTGGCCCCAAAGTCTATTTTTGGTATTCCCCGGGGACTTCATTGCTTTGCTCTCCTTGCTGTTCTGTTGTTTTGCCTCGGTTTGGTTATATTCTTAATGTATGTCACATTGTACTATTTTTTTAATCAGCAAACTAGGAATAGGAAGAAATTTTATCAATATGATAAAAACCACTTATGAAAAATAAGCAGCTAACATCATACCTAGTGGTGAAAGGCTGAAAACTTTCCCCCTTAGATCAGGAACAGGACAAAGAGCCCCACTTTCACAACTACTATGAACTATAATTCTAGTCAAAGCAAAGAAGAAAAAGAAATGAAAGATATCCAGATCAGAAAGGCAAAAGTAAAACTGTCTTATCTCCATGTGCATGTGATAAGTAGGAGCTCTGGTGGTGCTGTTAAGTAAATATTGGACTTTTGGGACTGTTAACTGCAAGGTCATCAGTTCAAACCCAACAGCTTCTCTTTCAGAGAAGAGGAGACTTATCTGCTCCTATAAAGATGTACAGCCTCAGAAATCCTTTGTAACACCCGTCAGTCGGAATTATCTCAAATCGATAGTGTGTGTTTTTATTTATGTCCTATAAATATATATGTACATAAATGTATATAAATACATCCTATATGAATAAGCAAGGGTGTACCCCCCCCAAAAAAAAAAAAAACGGAATTCCCCCCTCCCAAGCAATATATATATATTTTTTAACAAAACGACCTTATCGCCTCCAAAGTACTCTCCATTACACTTACTACATTTGTCAATCTGTGATTCCATTCTTGGAAATATTTTTCAAACTCATCTGCTTGGATGTCCTTCATTTTTTTCTTCACCTCTTCTCCATTGTGAAATCACTGTCCTTTCATGTCCCTCTGCATTTGTGGAAACAAAAAGAAGTCACACAAAACAAGGTCAAGTGAGTATGGTGGGGCAAGGGAGGCATGCTGTTTTTTGCCAGAAACTGGCACACTGAGATGGCTGCTTGTTGTGTTGTGGTGGTAAAACCAGTCCCCGTCTGCCACAAATCAGGCCTTTTTTGTCACACACACTGTTAAGCTATCTTTCCAGAACATCTAAATAGAAAGCTTGATTAACAGTCTGACCTGGTGGAATGAACTCCAAATGCACTCCAGAACGAGGTTTGTCATTACTCAACATTTCGCCTTTTTGAAACAAGTAAACCACTCATACACTTGAGTTTTTCCCATAGCCCTGTCCTTGTAAGCTCTGTTTAACATCACAACAGTTTCTGTGGCACACGCACACACCCCCAAGCAGGAAACAAAATTTCACAGCCACATGCTGTTTTCTTAAATAGGTCATTACAAAAAACAAGGTTCAAGCAAAAGTGCTTTTACGAAAAAATTCACTGTGGCCAGAGAGAACCTTCCCAGGTGCACTAACTCAGAACAAGTTGCTGGATGGGCGGGTATGTGTGTGTGTGGTGGTGGTGGGTGGGTGGGGGTATGCATACTACAAAAGTTCCACCCAGTGGAGCTTTCTTTCATTTTTTTGAGGTACCTCCTCAAATGTGCACATATATCCTATATGGAAAAAAGATTCCACTAGCCTACAAAATAAATTCCAAGGATAAATATCTTGGCCATGATATATAATCCTTTATATATGTTGCTTCACTCTAGCACTCTGTTTGCTAATATTTTGTTGAGGATTTTTAGTATCAAAGATACCGATGTATAGCTTTCTTATGAAGTCTTCATCTGATATTGGGGTCAAAGTAATATAAATGTACTTTTTGAATTATGATCTGAGGTGGTCTTCGATCTTGAGCCCAAACTTCCTGAACAATAGTTTTACTAGTAACAGAAAGGTCTGTCTTGAACATTCTACTCTTCTATGAACTATCTATATGGAATCAAGTTGACAACATTGGCATGAAATAGAACCCTAGAGGGGCGGAGAGTTTATTTTAATGGAGATAGAACAACTTAGCAAAGGAGGGTGGGAATGTTCAGTGTGACTTAGTTGTTCATGTGTAAACTGTTAAAATGTTTTGCTGGGTGTTTTCTTAGCAAAATAAATAAGATTTAAGGAATACTTTCTTGGTGTATAATAAATTTAAAATTTTTCCCCACAGAAAATGATCCACAGCTTATTCCTCATAAACTGTTCCGGTGACATATTTTTAGAGAAACACTGGAAGAGCGTTGTAAGCCAGTCTGTCTGTGACTATTTCTTTGAAGCTCAGGAGAAAGCTGCTGATATTGAAAATGTCCCACCTGTCATTTCAACACCTCACCACTACCTCATCAGTATCTACCGGGATAAGCTCTTCTTTGTGTCTGTCATACAGACTGAAGTGCCACCTCTTTTTGTAATTGAATTCCTGCATAGAGTTGCTGACACGTTTCAGGTTAGTTGTACCTCAAGCCTCGTGAAGTTAAATTACCCAAGTTATTTGGAGAGGGTGGAAAAAGTATATTGCATGCATACCTTGCTTAATTTTGTTCCACTTTATTGCCCTTCATGGATAATTGCATTTTTTACCAATTGAAATGATGGCAGATCTCTCACATTTTTGTAATTTTCACAGTATTTCAAACTCACATAATGCTATTGCACACTTAATGGACTATAGTATAGTGTTAACATGCACTGGGATACAAACCAAAAACAATCACATTATTGCAATGTTTGCTTTGCCTCAGTGTTCACTTTATTGCTGTTGTCTGGAATCAGACCTACAATATTCCTGAGGAATGCCTATAGATAGTTACACATTATATTCTTCACTTAAGAGTTTTTGATGTATAGTCTCTTTCAAATAAACTGAAATTCACAAGCCCTTTATTCTAGGGCATGTAGTGGGACTCATACATTCATAAGCAAGTATATTAGGAAGCATTTTAGGAAAAATTTGTATGTATAATGGTAAAAGAAAAATTTTTCTTGGTCATGAACTCTCTTCATAATTACATTTTGTTGGTTTCAATTTTGGCTTCTTAAATATACCAAAGAAGTTACAGGCCATTTATGTCAGCTAATCAGGATGATTAAAATGTATAGGTCACACATTCCTGTTTAATATCTCAATGTACTTCCTGTATCATATATATAATGCAAATTCAATTCTCCATTGGTCCAAATATGAAGAAGCTATTGAGTAATAATAATATATAGGACTTTATAAAGGCTTTCTCCCCCTTTTACATGTTTTCACATCCTAAAGAGTAAATTATGCTAATCTGAGTTTTTCCTTTCAAAATGTATTTGATAAGTCTTTGTGCCTTCCAAAGAGCCCTGGTGGTATAGTGCCAACGCGTTGAGTTTAACTACAAAGTCAACAGTTCGAAACCACTAGCCATTCCTCAGAAAACAGATGAGGCTTTCTATTCTCTCAAAGAATTACAGTCTGGAAACCCACAGGGGCAGTTCTACCCTGCCCTGTAGGTTGCTGTAAATTGGAATTGACCGGATCACGGTGAGTGTTGAGGTTTGGGTTGTGCCTTCTCTTTTGCAATGTTTTGTATCTTTCCGAAGGACTACTTTGGTGAGTGCTCAGAGGCTGCAATTAAGGACAATGTGGTCATAGTGTATGAGCTCTTGGAAGAAATGTTAGACAATGGATTTCCACTGGCTACTGAGTCCAACATTTTGAAAGAACTGATTAAACCACCAACGATTTTACGTTCGGTCGTCAATTCTATTACAGGTAAGGTAAAAAGTATCCCATTGGGAACTGAACAGTCAAAAAGTTATAAGCAGTTAATTTCTGGTTATTATGTGATACATATACCAGTTAATCCAATTTGACTGGAATTTAAAGTTAATGATAATGTTAAAATTAATATACTTATTTTCATAGAAACTATCTCCCTTTTTTAACAAGCAAATTCCTATGAAATATTATAGGCAACTGTATTATCTACTATTGTAAACTCCTCTCCGGTACATTGGCCTGAAAAATGGGGCAAGACAAACCTGTAATAAGTATCATTCAGCAGCCCTGTATTCTCCTGAATCAGGAGAAATTCATAGAAAGATTAGAGATCTTTCCTTAAAATGTGCACTCAGGGTGAGAGAACAGAACAAAAAATCTTAAGGTAAATAACACCATAAGATATTTTAAAGCCATCCCATATTTCCATAGAAATAGAGTGACATTATGAAGTACACATAATGTTAAAACAAAATCATAAAAATTTGTTCTTAATTATATACAGGGAAAAGTCCTAAAATGTTTACAGTGATTATCTCCAGCTATGAATATGTTACCTTTATTTGTGCTTTTTTTTTAACTTTCCATGTGAATATCTTTTATAGTCAGAAAAAGATACTAAAATACAGAATAAAACAAGATTTACATTCATAATTTAAAGAATGATTCAAGGATGAACTAATCCCTCTTATATTGGAGTAGGCGGGCCCCATGTCAAGAATCATTGCAATTAAGTAAGAAAGATGAATGAGAGCCTTATTTGTAGATGGAATTGGATGAGGGAAAGTACATACAAAATGAGTAGTACACAGGAGATGCTGAATTAACCAGTATAGCTGAAGCAGAGGTTGCTTTTATGATGAGTTAAAAAAAAATAAACGATGTCTGTCAGTCATACTGTAGTGGCTTTTTTTGTTGCTATGGGAAAATGTTAAAGAGCAGTTCAAAAAGGGAAAGTAAAATATTATAATGAAATGTAAAAGTACTTAAGAGTTAGAAAACCAAAAAGGAAGAACACACTTCGACATCTTAAACTGAAAGAACGCTAAAAAAAATCAAGCTTCAAATCAAAATACTAAAGGATTCTGTGGGCAATACATTGAAAACTGCAGGAAGCATCCAAAAAAGATGGCAAGAAAAAACAGTCATTATACCAAAAATAATTAGTTGACATTCTACTATTTCAAGAGGTAAATTATGAACAAAAAGCAATGGTGCTGAAAGAAATCCAAGCTACACTTAAAGCATTAGCCAAAAGCAAAGCTCCAAGAATTGGTGGAATACCAAATGAAATGTTTGAACAAGCTGATGAAGCACTGGAAGCACTTTCTCATCAATGCCAAGAAATTTGGAAGATACCTACTTGGTCATCTGACTGGAAGAGATTCACTTTTGTACCCATTCCAAAAACAGGTGACTCAACAGAATGCTCAAATTATAGAATATCATTGATGTCACATACAAGTCAAATTTCCCTGAAGATCCTCCAACAACAGTTGCAGTAGTACATGACAGGGAACTACCAGAGGTTCAGGCCGGATGCATAGACATGGAACAAGGGATACCATTGCTCACATCAATCCAAAAGAAAGCAGACAATAATAGAAACTAGAACAAATTGAAATTCAATCAAAAGGGAAAACATGATAGTATGTTAAATTGTAACAACTATAACTGCAGTAATCTACTTTCTAATGCACTTAGATCCCTAGTCAGTGGTCTGAGGGCCTTCAGTGGAGGCTTAATCCACATAGGGACTCTGCAAGTGAGTTTTGAGCTTTTACTGTCATCCAAAGCCTGCTGTAAAGTGGGTGCTCAGAGTTTGAGCCTTAGTACAATTCCCTCCTGTGATTTTAGATTTCATTATTTACAGTCCTTGGATCACAAAGGCTGGTTTATTCCTTCAGTGTGGACATAGCTGCCACCTCACTTTGATGGCTGCTTATTTTAAGACAATCCTTCAAGATGCTATTCTTAAGAAAGAATAAAAAGCAGGTATTATCTGCTTTCTTCATCACACTTTGCTGTAGCACCCCTATCTTCAGTGATTACGTTATGAGGGAAAGGAATGAGCAGGGGCACAGCATAAGAACTAATTGTTCTTAGAATAGAGCTTAGAATTAAGTGCCAGGTCAAAATCATTGGTATCTCTAAAGTTTGTATATATCCCTGGTGCTAGTATTACCAGCTTGTTGAGGAATAATTAAAGTAAACCTCTGAGGCAGTAAGTGTTTACAGAAATACTTTGCCTAATCTTTCTCCCCAGGAGCAACTAGTGGATTTTGGTTGCAGACCTTTTAGTTTGCAGCCCAATGCCTAGCTCACATGCTACCAGAGTTCCTTTAGGTTGAGTAGTAAGAGAGAAGATTTATGAAAATAGAGGAGGTTCTTGAATCCTAAGCTAAATATTCTTTTATTTAAAAAAAAAAAAATGCAGGCAAGAAAGGAGACCAGCCAGTCAGGGTGCAATGTAGCAACAATGAAAACTATAACTTTCCTCTAGTTCCTAAATGCTTCCTCCACCCCCTACTGTCATGATCCGAATTCTACCTTGCAAGTCAGAGGTTATACACTGGTACAGATAGGAACTGGAAACATGGAATCCAGGGCAGATGATCCCTTCAGGACCAGTGGTTTGAGTGGCGATACTGGGAGGGTAGAGGAAGAGTGGGTTGGAAAGGGGGAACCGATGACAAGGATCTACATATGACATCCCTGGGGGACGGACAACAGAAAAGTGGGTGAAGGGAGATGTCGGACAGGGCAAGATATGACAAAATAATAATTTATAAATTATCAAGGGTTCATGAGGGAGGGGGGAGGGGGGCAGCAAATGAGCACCTGCCAGGGGCTTAAGTGGAGAGCAAATCTTTTGAGAATGATGAGGGCAATGAATGTACAAATGTGTTTTACACAATTGGTGTATGTATGGATTGTGATAAGAATTGTATGAGCCCCTAATAAAACGATTAATTATTTAAAAAGAACTAAAAAAAATGCTGGAAACAAATATTCAAGATTTTGAACAGGAAAATAACATGGTTAAAGCAAGTCTTTTGGAGGTTTATTCTAAAAGCATGTACACTGAAAAGATGGTGTGACCAGGGCATCTGGCCTTCACGAAATGTCACAAGGGGGAAAGAGCATCAAGGTTGATTCATCTGAGATAGAGGTGGAACTTGCCTCTCTACCTAGCAACTTTCTTTACCAATTCTCATACCAAGTGTCCCTACCATGGTACTCGTACTTTTCTGTTGGATATAATCATTCATTACAGTGGTCATACAGAACTCACAGCCAATTATGGGGGCTTATTAGGAAGCTAACAGGTTATATTTCAGGTTCAGAAATCACTCAGGATGCAGTTCTTCAATTAGGACATTCTTTTCTTAGCAGTTCCCACAGACATGCTTCTTTCTGGCCTTCACCTCTTACGTAGATTCTCAGTTCCACAGCCCTTCAGCCTCTGCTTGGCTTGGGCAATTGTTAGCAAAGCTCTTTTAAGCTATGCCTATAAGCCAAAAGTACTAAGAACTACAGGAGTTGGCAAACAACTCCACCAAGTCTCTGAAAGCATCCCATTCTACCAGCAGGCCTCTTGCCTGAAGGTCCAGAAATATGCCATGCTACCTCCTGCTTGTCTCCTGATTCTGCTTCCACCATTTCTCTGCTGCTAATTCCCACCACCGCAGCAAGGTGTTATAATTCTGTTTTATAATTCTGTCTCCTGGGTCAGCTGGTTCAATACAGGAATTTCAGGTCTAGAAAACATGCACGTTGACTTTTCTTCCTTGGTGATAGTGAGATGACATATTCCACCTCTCTGATGGTTCATCTTAAGCCTAGCAGGTTGGTAAAATAGACCAGTTTCATATACCGTATTGCATGTCCTTGTCCCCACCCGCAAACACACACAAGTGCACCATGTACCTTATATATTTTATTAGCATACTAAGTAGCTGTGGTAGCACTTTAGGTTAGACTTTGGACAGCCGATTCACAGCCATTCAATTTAGTCTTCTCACCCTAGAAAGTTGCTGTTAAAATGGCCAATTTTATGAAGCCTGGGAAGGTGGTGCTGGTTCTGGTGATGCTTCTCTGGATGCAAAGTCGTCATCATGACGAGCAGTGATGATGGCCCTTCAGACTGCCTTTACAGCCATGCTGGAATCGAATGCTATCCCCACAGTGACAGCTGCCGTGGGCAAGAAGAAGTCAAAGACCAAGTCTTTTGTGGTGGTTTATAATCACCTTATGTCCTCAGGGTACTCCATGGACATCCCCTTGGACAAAACTGTCCTCAATAAAGACGTCTTCAGAGACTGCTCTTAAATACAAGGCCTAGCAGGAGGCTAAGCTTAGATTTGAGTAGAGGTATAAGATAGGCAAAAGCAAATGGTTCTTCTAGAAGTGGCAGCTTTAGATCTTACGTAGTTAAACATAAAAAATAATAACCCTACAATCCCTTTATCTGACTGCTACTTGTATCATTAAACTTATAAAAGGAACATTGGTGGAATAAGACCTTGGGCTTAGGTGAAGGGCTCAGAAACCAAAATAAGCGGTAGACCTGTGAGACTTGAGGGGAGGAAAGCAGTCTCAGACACCCTGTATAGGGTCTCTGAATCAGAACTAAGTCAGTTGCATTGAGTATCCCATTCTGGGGGTTTGCCACAATCATCTCATTTGCATAGCCCTACCTAGGCATTGGATGGAAGTTGCAAAGACTGAATAAAAGGGCCATATTAAGTAATTCACTGAGCCCCAAACAGCAATTGTGGAGACTACGATTTGGTATGTGCAGTTTGATTGCCAATAAATGTTCATAGTAGCTGAGTTTGGTCATAGGGAGATAAATTATTTTGGATAGATGAAGTTTTCTGAACATTCTTTGTTAAAATATGTTACTTTTGAAATGAAAATATAAATTAACAAAATATTACATATGTCACATCTCAGGACTGTGTTTTAGACAAACAGAATTTATTTCAGACTTGTTTCAGTTTACCAGGAATTTAGCGAAGTGTTGAACATTAGCCCAATTTCATATGAATGGGTATTGGTAAACGTAAAATGGAAAAAAAGCCAGGGTATGTTTTTTTCCTGTTACTCCACTGAGGCCAGCTTGGCATGACCTCATGTAGAATTAAGCTGACTACCTAAGGACTTAGTACTCTGTATTTGCGGTGAGTAAAACAACCATCCTATATTTTTATCAGTAACAGCAGGATGAGGTTCTGTTGCCTAGTAATTGGAATTAGGTTAGGCTTCTGTTAACACACAAGAAGCAGAAGATAAATAAATGAATATAACCTGGTTTGGCAGGTAGACAAAGGATCACATGACTGATTTTTGTCTTATAGAAATGTAATCGTGTTAGTATTGGTATATCTTAGCAATTCTCCTGGAAACCATAAATTCAATTAAGAAAAATCTAAATATTAAAGAAGTTGCTAATACATTCAACATTTTATGTATCAACTTTACTTTTCCCTTATTGGTTTCTAGGCAGTAGTAATGTTGGAGACACACTCCCCACTGGGCAGTTGTCCAACATTCCATGGAGGCGAGCAGGAGTAAAGTACACAAACAACGAAGCCTATTTTGACGTTATTGAAGAGATAGATGCAATTATAGATAAATCAGGTAATTGTATGTGGTATTATTTGTGGGAAAACAATTCCGCTGACACAAATTGAAAATAAAATTGAAAAACTCTTGGCCGTATGACTTATGCAGAAAGGCATTCATTTTCCTGGGATATAAAAATCATGTTATTTTTCCCAGAGGCTGCATGTCTTTACAGCTACTAGTTGAGAGCTGCAAAACATTTGTAAAGGAGATCTCATGCTGCCTGACTTTTAGCCAATAATTACCATGTATATCTCTCTCACCATGTATTCATTCTTTCACTGAGCACCTACCATATATCAAAAGGAGCGCTGGTGGCACAGTGGTTAAACACTCAGCTGTTAACCAGAAGTGTGGTGATTCCAACCCACGAAGCCAACTCCACACGAGAAATGATCTGGTGATCTGTTCCCATAAACGCCACAGCCTAGAAAACTGTGAGGCAGTTGTGTTCTGTCGCATTCAGTTCTTATGAGTTGAAAACCTTCTTGGCACTGTATACCATACTTATGTACAACCCTTATTTTCTAGAGAGCTTTTTAACCAGATAAAAGAAAGGTATTTTATTAGAATCGCTGTTATTATTGAAAATATCTAGCCTAACCTTCATACTTGATACGTAAGGAAATTAGTGCCCTTTTTATTCAACTTTATAGAATAGATCATGACTCCTATGTATACTTTAAGTTCAATAATAAACAGGTAGTTATTGCCCAATTTGAAGGAAACCATTTTGATTTTCCGTAGAATAAATCTTATTTAAACCAGAATTATCCCAGTGGCATTCAGTGAGTAACTGGTGTATTGAATTTGCTCTCTAGTAGACGAGCATATTTGCTCTTAGTGACTGATGTATCTATTTAGAGAGCGTGTTTTTAATAATATCTAAGTGGAGTTACTATATTAAGTAAGTCAGAAACCCAGAGGGGGCCTCCATTATTCCAGATACAGTGATCACACTGCTAAAGATCCAGAACCCATTGATTTTATCAAACCTTTCTTTCTTTTCTTTCTTTAGGGTCTACCGTCTTTGCAGAAATTCAGGGGGTCATCGATGCTTGTATTAAACTGTCAGGAATGCCTGACCTATCTCTCTCTTTTATGGTAAGTTTTTCTCACGGCTTATAAAATCTCTTCCATGCCTGCTATATGAAGTACTAAATGAAATGATAAATATTAAGACAAGTTTGCATCTTGATTACAAAAGATGGTCTTAGAAATATTCCTAGGACAGCTCCCCAAGGAAATAGCTTACATAATAACCATGACCTTTATGGGAAGATTGTAGAAAATTCTCTGCCTAAGTTTACTAGAAGTGGCTTAATTTGGCTGTTGCAATTCCACAAATCCGCATTGTCATTTTAACTGAGTCAGTACTTGCTTTGCTGATATGAAAGAGCATTTAGTCTTTGGCATTTTTAGACTCAGCATGACACACTGCTAAGAACAATCAAGAGAACTGAGTTTTAGTGCCATCTCTGCCACTAATTTGTCTTGATCTTAAGCGTTTTTAACTTCAGTTTTTTCATCTATACAGTAAAAATAGTACTAGCTACGTTTCCTACTTCAACGAGTTATTGAAATTCAATAAAGTAATATATATAAAATAGTTACAAATCAAAAGTGATTTGCTCTTATGCGACTAATTTATTTAGAGAGCACATTTTTAATATCTGAGTGGAGTTGCTATATTAATTTTTTCAAACCATTTCCTTTCTACTTGAGCCCATGGTATGAGCTCCTCGCTTTTTTCCTCTCCCTTCCTCATGAACCCTTGATAATAAATTATTAGTTTCATGTTGCCCTTAATTATACTCTATGAATATGATTCTCTGTTTTCCTCCCAGAACCCCAGACTTCTGGATGATGTCAGCTTCCACCCTTGCATCCGGTTTAAGCGTTGGGAATCTGAAAGAGTTTTGTCATTTATTCCTCCAGATGGAAATTTCCGACTTATATCGTATCGCGTTAGCTCACAAAAGTATGTTGATACAGCAACCAGAATCTACCATCCCTTATGGATAGAAGTCACCTTTTTCTTATTTTTTTTCCTATTTCTTTTTTTATTATTCTGTTTGGGTTTTTTTTAATCACTTTATTGAGGGCTTGTACAACTCTTATCACAATCCATACATCCATTGTATCAAGCACATTTGTACATTTGTTGTCATCATTCTCAAAACATTTTCTTTATACTTGAGCCCATGGCATCATCTCATTTTTTCGCCTCTCTTCCTCACGAACCCTTGATAATTTATAAATTATTATTTTTTCATGTCTTAAACTGTCCACTGTCTCCCTTCACCCACTTTTCTGTTGTCTGTCTCCCAGGGAGGGGGTTATATATGC